GGGGGGGGGGGGGGGGGGGCGCTATTTTTATGTAGTTTTGGGCCAAACAACATAAAAAAAACTGATGAAAAAGCTTGACATTTCATTAGTAGAGGTTCTAATTAAGTGGAGTAAAAAAAAATGAGTTTTGGATAGTTATTTGAAAAAAAAAATAAAGGGTATTATGGACATTTTAGTAATGAACAACAAATTCCCTCCTATCCCTTTATTAATAGTATAGATATAGACCTAATTTTTTTAAAAAATATATTTTCAAAGTTTTATTAGGAGGTATTTACAAACTAGACACCAAATTGTTCTGCATACTACTGTTTAGGGAAAAAAAAACACCCTCTCCCTCTTTTGAGCAGGAATTGCTTGTAAATCTTTGGACTTACGTCCTTTTTTGCAGGGAAAATTGTTCATCAAACCATAATGAGGTTGAGACATAAAAAAAAAAAAAAAAAAAATGAGGTTGGATTCAGAAGGTTGAAGAATAAAAGCATTAGATGTAGAACTTTGTTGTTCCTCTTTCTTTCCTTTTCTTTCTCCATTTCTTTTTTTTTTTTTTTCAGAGTAATGTTCTCAATTCCTTTTCCTCCTGCTAAAGAAGTAGTGTGATGTCTATGTTTCAATAAACAAATGGTTTCATTTCATGTACCATATGGCGCTTTCACAACATTCAAATATGGTTTGTTTTCTGCAGTAAATTTAAAAAACTTTGATCTAATTAATCCACTTTTTGTCATGGTTATAGTGAAATAAATAGACTAATTAATTTCAAATAATATTATTTTTTTATCAGGTGGTCAAGTTTCTTCAAAACTTGTACCCCGTACCCCAGTTCATCAACAGAGGGGACACTTCTGAGTCTATTAATTGGAGCCAAACTGTCAAAAATAATTCACCATAAATTAGACTTTACGTGACGATGATAATGTGATGTTAGTGTTAAATTTAATTTTTCTCGGTAGCTGGGGCCATGGCGGTATCGTGTGGGCCTTGGCGTCTGCCCTAATGTTTTGGGCCCTCATTTTAATCGTATACGTTAACAAGCCCAAATGCAAGAAAATAATTTGAATAGACCAAAGCCCAATTGTAACGAAAATTTGAATGGGAGTGTTTACGGGTCATTTAGTAACGTTTTTGTTTTTACGTCTTGAAAAAAATTAAAATAGTGATAATTCTTCCCTTTATTTTGTGATAAACACTAATACATAAAATATATTTGGGAGTAATTTTTGCCTATCAAATTATAAAAATAAAAACAAAAAATATGTTTTGTAACTACTTCAAATTTTATCATAAATATGTTTGGTATCTATTTGACAATTAAATCCCAAATCAACACAATACACACACACGCACACGCACAAATCTATGTCTATATATGCAAATATGTGCATATATATGCACAGCTTCTGGGTTTCACAGAGAAAAGGGAGATAGGAGAAAGAGAGGGTCAGCGATGCTGAAGAAAGAGACAGCAATGGAGAGGAAAAAGGCCGTGATGGGTTTCTCTGTATCGTTTGATGGTCTAATATAGAGAAAGGAGAGAGGAGAGAGACAAAGAAAGAGAAGCGATGGGGAGGAGAGAGGGATGTAATGAGTTTTTATACTTCAATAAAACAAAGATTTGTTTTGCTGTTAAGAGGAGTCGAAGTTTGAATCTCATTAATTCATAAGCCTATTTGATCGTGTTGTCTTTGTTTTTTGTGTTTTTTGGAATATCTTTTTTTTGTTTCTATTTTTTTGTCTTTGTTTCCAAACTACTAATATAAAATAAAAACAAAAATAATACCCAAACATATTTTTGTTTTCTTTTTTGACAAAAATTAAAAACAAAAATACAAAATACAAGACAAAAACAATTACCAAGCAACCCCTAGTTCCCTATATACAGTAGCTCTCGATATAATATTAATTAAAATATATTCAAAATTTACATGTATTGATTTGTTCTATAAAGAGCAATGCTATTGAGGTCTAATTTATTGACATAATTTGTTAACCTAATTTATTGTGACCTTTGGGGTCACTATAAACCCCATCTAATATTAAAATTTAATATTGATCCAATAATTCTTATAAAATTATATCATTATATTAATAAATTAAATTAAAATTTTAAATCTAAATAATATTATTCATAAAAGTCATTAGCCGCAAAGGAGGAGTGTCCCACTCCCCGAAACGTAGTGGGTGTAAGTGCACATTGCACATGGTCTACAAAAGTTAAGTCGGTGAAAAAGGAATTGAGAGTTGTCAAGCTACCCACCACAACAATATGTATGCACAAGCATTGGAATAAAGGTAACCCAATCTATCAAAATTGATGCTTCACATAAATTCTAACGTTCAAACATGAATATTCTTATACAGGCATGCGCCCAATACAAAAACTAAAGTACTTAACTCTTAGTTATGATAAAAAACGAATTGTAAATTTAGATATTTTGAATATGAATCTCGATAATTTTTTGACGCTAGACTATGAAAGATTTATTTTTCATAAATACATAATCGTAACAAGGATGACATGTTTTTGATCGAATTGAAGAGAAGATTAGTTGAGATATACGTAAGTTAATCCGATTATCTCTGACTAATAAAATAAATAAAAACTAAAGTACTTGGAAACAAAANCGCCCAATACAAAAACTAAAGTACTTAACTCCAAGTTATGATAAAAACGAATTGTAAATTCAGATATTTTGAATATGAATCTCGATAATTTTTTAACGCTAGACTATGAGAGATTTATTTTTCATAAATACATAATCGTAACAAGGATGACATGTTTTTGATCGAATCGAAGAGGGGATTAGTTGAGATATACGTAAGTTGATCCGATTATCTCTGACTAATAAAATAAATAAAAACTAAAGTACTTGGAAACAAAATTCACAAGGTGAAGTTGCTGCCCTTCCATTACCACATTAAAATCTTTGTATTGTCTTTTAACAGTATCTAGGAGACACAACACAATAATAACACCAACAATAATGATTACTTTTAACAGAACGGTCAAGTTACTCTACTATGAGTTGAATAGATTAGTTTGAGAAACGAAAATAAATTTTTTGCAAATAAAATTACAGTACAACAATNCCAACAATAATGATTACTTTTAACAGAACGGTCAAGTTACTCTACTATGAGTTGAATGGATTAGTTTGAGAAACGAAAATAAATTTTTTGCAAATAAAATTACAGTACAACAATTCTCCCACAAACCTAATAATGAGAATCTCATTCACTAAACATATTTGTTTTCATAATTCAGATGCATATGTATGAGAGTAAATTGAAGGTCATGTGTCCTTGGGAGACTGCGGCTACCGAGATTTCCAAAAAAGGCATGCTTTCCTAAAAGGCTGGGTTACCAAAACTGATCAAAAGACTTGAAAGATTTTGCTGCCACTGTCATTCAGAGGAGTGTAGATAAATAAAAAGAGAGCATGTGAACACAAACCCAATATGGCTACTTGCTATGATTCCAATTATGGATAGCCTACTTGACAAAGTAGGTTGACTAGCTACCTCCAATAATTTCCCAAATCATTCCTATTAACTGATATTTTCCTAGAGAGATGAGTGATGTATGCTTATGACTCAAACTCGATTCAAATGGTAAGATATGTGATGTGATGTTTATTTTTGAAAAGATTGGTTTTTAGGGTCGATTCTCAATTCAAAAGGTTAGAGATATGATTCGATTGAATTATTTGGTCCAAATTCATTTTATCTTTCATCGTTCTGACAAGATTCTTAAATAAGTAGACAGATGAACCGAAAGGAGACGAGAATATGAGGGCGAAGCTATGGGGTGATGACAAGTGGAAGAATGGAATAGACTTATTTTGTTTGGAGAAAAAAGCAGCAAGAAGATGATGGGATTGAGAGTGGGAGAAGGGGGATGGGGAGGGGTAGGGGGAGGGGGAGGGCGGGTATATGATAAGGCATTTGTGATGGGGTATTCTCCAACTCTCTCCTTTCTTCTCCATACTTCCTGGCCACTTGCATGTATGCCTAATTGCTGACGTCTCTCCCTCTCTCCCTCCTCTTATACTTGAAAACCAATCAGTTTTACTTCTAGTGAAGTCTTTTTTGATATTGCCTCGCATGTCAAACCATTGTAAAAACCATAACTTCCACTTAAACCTTATTTCATGTTTTGCTTTGCACCAAAACAGTTTCAAGCTGGTATTCATTGATTTATACACACATCTTAGTGGAAAAAAAGGCCACATTATAATTTTACAAACAAAGAAATAATATTATTGGCATCGAAAAACTTGGCCTAATACTCTTATCTCAATTATGTGACAAGTAATATTGTCCGACTAAAAATATTCTCTATTTTGAGAAGTACTCAATAGAGAATTCAGGTAAACGGATCCAAACCGCAGTTTGAGTGACCGTTGCTAAAGAAAGCTTAAAATCAGGGTGCCACTTTCGAACAATGAGATAATGGTTTGATATCATCCAAGGTCCTCTAGTAGGAGCTCTTTTGTAATCCTTGCCATCAGTCAATTTGAGGATGAAGTAGTCATGGCCAACAGTTATAAGTATAATAATATTATTAAATTATGTCCACTGTTATATCATTAGGTTTGGACTTTAGGTTAAAATCTTAGATCCCAATAAATAGACTTAAAATATAGACTTAATCAATCACTGTTATTGAGTAGACAGTGGATCCCAAGACTCACAATAAAATCAATAATAATAATTGATTAAGTCTATATTTTAAGTTCACGTAGAATTATTCGTAGTGTAAATAGAACCAAAAAAGGCACCTGGATTTTGCTCTATAAATAGAGGCATGAGAAGTCCTTAGGTAACCAACAGCTAGAGCTCTCTTAAGTGTTTAAGACATGCAAGAGAGAAGGCGGCATTGGTGATGCTGTTGACAGAAGATAGAGAGCACAGATAGATGAAGTGCGTGGAGTCTGCATCTCACTCTTTGTGCTCTCTATTCTTCTGTCATCACCTTCAGCCCCTCACTCTACAGCATACACTTGAGGAGCCAATATTACTACCATAAGAATCAAGATAAATACAGGTATAGGGAAAATTGTTGGACCATCCAGAGCTCCCCCCCCCCCCTCTCTCTCTCTCTCTCTCTCTGTGGGTGCGTGGGTGTGTGTTTGTGCATGTAACAGTGTTGATTATATCAATATATATTTATAAGAGGCAGAAGAGACAGTGGTGATGCTGTTGACAGAAGATAGAGAGCACAGATGATAAGGTGCATGGAGCATGCATCTCACTTCTTTGTGCTTTCTATTCTTCTGTCATCATCACCCTCAGTCCCTCAACTCCTAAAATCTTTCCATAGTGCTCTTACTATAAATAATAACAATAATACAATTGCAAAAGACTGCAATTATTGTTCTTATTCTTTCATTTTATCTCTCTCTCTCTCTCTCTCTCCACGCATAGTCCCTTAAGTGAATCAATATTTCTGCATAACTGTTTTCTCTGACAGATATAATTTGGTATGATGAGACAAGTGGATCATTTGAATGTGTAAATTATTGGTGCATCACATTTTATTTAACCTTTCCCCAAGGATTTTGGTTGAAGATGTTAAACATGTGCATAATATAGTTTTGATAGCATGTTTAAGAGAGGCATTTTTCACCATTGTAATGTTTAATTGTGCGATCCATCAGTTAAACAAATTCCCAATGCAGAGTAAAGCCAAAACCAACCAACAATTTTGGATGAAACCTGAATGATTTTTGAACCATGTGCTTCAAGGTAAAACCATGGTGTTGGCTTGGGTCCAACCGAGACGATGATGGAAATTTATTGGTGAATTCTAAATCTTTGTATCCCATTCAGGGTAGATTGACAGGTGTGATTGAATCCACTAATTACCATTGGTTGTAATGGTAAGTCTTTGAGGGTGTAAGTGTTATTTTATACCTAGTCTTTGTTGGGGTTATGCTATTATATTACCTTTACACTAGATTTGTAACCAACAGCTCCCTTACAAGGTTTGTTTTACGTTGAAGTGTTAATCAAGACGAGTTACTTAGGCTCGTGTGTAGCATTCAATCTGTGCTCAGTTTGTTCTTTAACTTTCCAGAGTACTTGGGAACCTAGGATGCCTTCAAGATTTGGACATTCCTTGACAAACAAGCTACTGTACTACCATGAGGTGTGATATTTCCACCAAGGGTGGGCAAGGAATTTGAAAAACAGATCATCCATTGATCAGAACCAAAATCTGTGGGATTCTTAAGCTGAAGTGACTATACATGGAGATGGTTCTCTTGCTCGATTACTTGAGCCTCCTTTATTTGATACTTTACTCTTAATTCGATTTGTCTAATTGGCCTCCTTGCATATGGATTCGATTTGAAATATGAAATCTATCTCAGAGAGTTTAATATTTAAAATCGTTGCATTTATTGTAATGTTTTCTTTATAATTCTAAAGCCAACCCATTTGTTTTAAGGTGATGGTTTAGGCAAATAAAAGAAGCAATCAGATCTTCTTCTTTTTTCGCTAAGTGAAATTAATCAGATATGTCTACCTAATTATCAAAACTTCCAAGAAATCACAAACTAGCAATTTCTAAGTATTGATACAATTTCCATTTTTGACCATGGTTCGAAAGGTGAGAAAGAGCTGGCAGTGAAGGGGAAGAGAAAACTAATGATGTAAAAGAAGGCTAAATTGAGAGATTGTTTTCCTCTACATCATCCTATGTTTCAATTGTGGCAATATTGGCTGAAACAGTTCATGGATTTAGAGAGTAATTAATAAGCTTGGTGATTTGGCAAAGGTAGTGTTTCAGTTGGGGGATTCTAAGACTCATGTAACAATTCTCCTTTGACAATCCGATCAAGAAAAAGAGAGAATCAAGCATGTCAGAATTCCCAACTTACTATGATTCATTGACTAAGCTCATTTTTTTTATACTAGAAGAGTCAATCAATTCTAAGATTGACAATAAATTTCTTTCATCATCATACGTCATTACAAGAATCAGGTTACGTTATGGTCTCATTCACTATTATAATGGTTGCCTTAAAGGTGATGGAGAGATTAAAAAGAGGAAAACTTTCAAACAAACACTCCATCTATTTGAAGTTGGTTTTTTCCAACTTGCAAGCTATGCTTTTGTCTATTCCCGGCAATTTCTCAGAGGCAGATTGGATATTGGCCAAAATTTGTTTTAACTGAATATGGGTAATTTCTTGATGAAACAAGTAAAGGGTATAATTATATATGGGTTTTTTTTTTTTTTTTTGGGGGGGGGGGGTAGGTAATGTAATTATATGGTTACATGAAACAGCTAGCTTCTTTCTGTAAATGTTATACATAAGGTACTGGAAGCTATTAGAAACTTATCTTTGTTCTAGAATTAGTAATTCTGTATGTAAGAAAGCCGATAGGGAAAAGTACTCAAAAAAAAGATTCTGGAAATCTAGAAGGACGGCTTTATCTTTAATTCCTGTCAAAAATACAAACATAGAGCAAACTTTTTTATTAAAAAATTTCACATCTCAACTGATGTGTCTCTCATCAACAACCATCACATATTTATTTATTCATTTAATTATATGGTGATATTAGATAGTGTGTCACATCAGTTAATGAACAAGTTTTAGTAAAAACAATTGATGTCCACCGCAAAATTTGGAGGCGTTTTGTCGTGGTGGTGGTGTGTTATCGTAGGCGGGCCTTATTCCTTGGTACCTATGTCAAAGTCCGTCCATTTGATAGAGAGAGAGAGAGCCAAATTGTTGAAGCAATACCCAATTACTTTTGCAGTGTGATGTTAAAATTACGAAATATCATTTGGCAGTCTTTACGCTTAAGATGATTTCTGTACGTTTTGAGATGTAAGAGTAATATTTTAAATGTAAAGAGATTCAAATGATTAAGTGACAAACATGATGGGATTTAAGTATAATTTATCAATTTAATTTTAATTGCACATTGATACAAATTTCTATTTTTGAGAGTGCAAATTAAGATTTTTATCTTTAGGAGTGCACATTAATACAAATTCCTATCTTTGAGGGTATAAATTAAAATTTTTTATCTTTGAGGGTGCACATTGATACAAATTTCTATCTTTGAAAGTGTAAATTAAAATTTTTAATCTTTAAGAGTCTCAATTGAGATTTGAACTATCTTTTAGAGTGTAATTTGCAATTAACCCAAGATTTTATTTCATGTCACATCCTCTATATAGTCGCTTCTTGTCCTTAATGATCCCTACTCGGTGGTGTTACTTCAGTAATCTTTCATACGAAGTTCAGAAAAATGGGGTTCCGAAGACACCGCCACTCACAACCTCTGCCACCGCCGCCACCTAATTATTATGCTCCTCCTCCACCACCTCTTGGACCTCCTGGATCACCCCCCCACCACCACCACCACCAGTGCCTGAACCAGGTCCATACGATCCACTGTCACCTCCACCTCCTGGACCACCCAGATCACCCCCACTGCCACCAGTGCTGGTACTAGATTCATTCATCCCACCACCACCTCCACCACAAAATAATTATGCTCCTCCACCACCACCTCTGCCACCAAATAATTATGCTCCACCACCACTTCCTAGACCACCCCCACCGCCTTACACTCCACCACCTTATGCAATACCTCAGCCTGGACCTCTTGATCCACCTCTGCCATCACACTTTGATCCCTATGGACCGTCTCCACCTTGGCATCCCCGTCCACCACCTTACTAGCTAGCACGTTCCTTACTTGCAGCTCCTCTAGCATGCTCTACGCCTACTTTTTAGCTCTTTTATGGGTTCATATTTGAACACTCCCGGTTCTTCAGCCCACTTGATAAAAGAAATAAAGAGTAACATCTTCCAATTTTCCTCTTTTTAATTAGGATGGAGGTTATGTACTTCTCCTTTTATCCTTTCCTTAGTTGTTTGGCATGTATTTCTGCTTGTAAGTTTCAATTTGAAGTACTTAGAAATTAGTAGACAATCTAAGAGATACTATCTCCTGGTAGATTTATCTATTAGCTTACAATTAGTTTCTCTGCACAAAAACCATTACATTGAACTCGTATATTAAAAATACTAACAGCAATAACCCGATATACACGAAAGGAGTATTTTATGCAGTGTATGTTTAAATGGAATGAGAGATTTATACAAACTCAGCCAATTAAGAAGCTTTACTTCCACTCAATTTACGGATATACAGATCAAAGATTCTTTTGTACATCCGGGTTTTTTTTTTTTT